CTTCAGCTTCATGCTGCCCAAATTAGCGGTCAGAATGCCGGGGCTGCCAAAGCTGAGGCTGCTACTTGGTGGTGGGTTGTCCTGGCTCATGAGCTGGCACACAATCTTGTTTCAACGCACAATTCTGATCACAGCTACTACACGTAAGTCTAGGATACCACCCACCTTGAGAAGTGCATACCAGTTGCTAACACTATACAGCGAGTCTTTCATACAACAATACTTTGGCAAAATGATGGTGAAGGCGGCCACATGGGTGCAACAGCCCACGTCCACTGCAAGCCAGCAATCACAACCATCGCAACAACCATCCACTTCTGCACGAGAACCGCCGCCACCTTATTCTACTAGATCCGGTCGATAAACACCAACGTACTACACTCTAGATGAGTCGCACATGATTTTTTCACTCGCGAGAAATTGTATATTTGAAGCTGCAGAAAGACGCAGCCGGCGTTAGGGGTTCTGGATTGTTTTATATGTTTTGACTAAGAAGTATGAGCCCGAAGGAGCTTACATCCTCCCTCTTTAGATATAATTAGAACAATAGAATCACACTCCCCCTTACTGATAATCCATTCCCGTGTTTGAGGTCATATCGGATGAAAGGTGTCAGTGTGAGGGCGTAAGGTCCCAGGATTAAAAAAAGAAAGAAATGGGCAAGCTATGAGGCCTGTTGTGGAATCGAAGCAGGAAGCAATAGAAAAGACAAAAGGGTAAGCGAAGATCCCAGAAGGATGATTTAAGCCATTTAGTCAAAGTTGATTGCAGCTACTTCGCTGATATTGGTTGATTGTATTATTGCTTATATGCTGCCTGGTTGCTCATGTCGGCGAGCTCGAGTTGGCTTAGTCTGGCTGTGCCTATCAACTCACCCTTGCTACCAAAAACCATTATGATATTTCAGTCCATTCGAATATGATAGTACGTATTTCCCAGGAAGACAATGATATTAAACAGTCTTGTCATCCATGTCAATATTTGATGACACTGCTTCTGATCTATCATGGAGTGGAAATGGGAGCATCTTCATTGGACGAGAGTTTGAGATGTGTCACGTGACTCTGGTGTGGGCCAGCTTCGGCAATCCAGCTCAATCAACTCTACACCAGGAACATCACCTCACGACGCTGCGAGGCAATTCCCCGACGCAAAGCTTCGCCTACCAGCCACTCACTACTCCAATCGGAGAGATAATCGCATACCCCTCCCGTTTCCCGACTTCCGAGCGAAACCAATTGGCCCATCATGGTGCACCGCATTGCCTTCTGGAGCACCTTCGGTACGGCAGATTCCAATCCCACCCAAAAACCAACCCATTGACTCACGATATCGAATGAGCGAGAGGGGTGAAATGGGTTGAAGGAAATGTGCAAGCTAACAGAGAATGTCGAAAACTAGGCTTGGCCGTGCGCTTCTGGCAGGTCGGCATCGAGATGCGGCCTTTCTTCAACAAGGGATCCCTCTGGGTGTACCCCGTCTACGCGGCCGGCGGCGCCAGCTTCGGGTACTGGCTGCAGGGCGTCGACGACAAGCAGACGGCGCTGCTGGAGGAGCGCAAGGACAAGCTGCTGGAGAAGAGGGCGAGGAAGGCGGCGAGGGACGCTGAGGCTCTGGCCTAGGCTTGAGTTGTGTACCGATAATAAATTGCCTGGGGTGGGAAGCAAAGAGCAAAAGAACTCAAACTCGGTAGAGCCCTCGATGGATTGGGGGGATTGTGTGCCGACTGTACATATTCGGGAATTAGACCTGGGGCGTGAGATGCGTTGCGTCCAGGCGGAGCAAACAAACCACGGTTACTCACTTCCTTTTGTCGTCTCATGAGTGTGTGTTTTATTCGCTGTACATCGCTGCTTCATGTATGGCAGATTAGATGGCTCGTCTATCCCATGGCTATATGAAGGACCATGAAGCTCGGAGACACCATTTCCACAGTTACAATAAAAAGAAATGAAACGTCACGGTAATGGCACAATTGAGCACGGTCATGGTCTCGAATTATCTTGACATGTCATTCTATTGCTTGTTCACAGCTCCCAACATTAGGATGTGTTATCTATAATTCCTCTAGCTTCCTGAGGATTGCCGGTACTGCCGTCGGCGACGCATTGCCCAACTCTGTGATGATGGTGGAGATGTATCTATCCCTCGTGGTGTCGAACAGCAGGCGGAACCCGACATCGGACAGCCTCTCAGGGTCAATCTCGTTGTATGTGAGCGAGTCGATGGACACACGTTCTGTGAAGTTGATAGTCTCGCAGAGCGCCACGACCTGGATGCCGAGGTCCTTGGCGGCCATTGCGATGTCGCAGGTGCCGGATCGAGCGTACATGGCCCCGTTGCTAAACATGGCTTCAGCGGCAACCAGGACCACGGATACGTCGCGGAGGTTGGAACGCAGGGCACCAAGGTCGGATACGTATGTGACTGGAATGCCTGCGGCGGCAAGAGCCTTGGAGTGCTCAACGCCAACTCGCTCAAAAGCGTCATCGATGAGCACTACGCTGAACTGCTTCCCTTGCTCCTGGGCTTGGAGCAAGGCCCGCTGGACGAGGTGGTGGTGGGCGTAAGTTAGCACCACCTGGTCGTCCTCGATCAGCTCGGCGGCGGTGTTGGCGATGACGAAATCTGCCAGGGTCACACGCTCGTGAATGAAGTTGTCGATGGATTCGCAGAGAAGCTTCTTGGCTTCCAGGTCTGGTAGATCAATGTCGATCTTGCTAATTTGCAGTTTCAGCCACCGGATCGCATTGCCCATGGAGAAGCACATGGGGCGGCATGCTGTGAGATAGTCGATTTGTGGGTTGAGAACGTGTGAGGTGAAGTGGCGTGAGAAGGTGGTTCCGATGGGAGTTGTGTATGAGTCAATAACCTTTGAGCCGGGTTAGATTTCGATTTCCTATTAATCTCAACTGGAGAGCATGTCGCATTACCTTCTTGAAAGCGTAGAGAGTAGCCTCCAGCCGAGTGATGCTATCGCTCAGCGCAAAGGTACTCATATGCTGGCCCAGCACAAGGACAGCGGGGTCGACGTCCTTGTCCGCCTGGGTGATGTTTATTCTTCGGGCCATGGAGAGATGGCCGAAGCATTCGGGGACGGCTGGCTTCACCTCCTTGGGTGCCACAGGCGCCGCGGCAGCTGGCTTCGCATGGTGTCCCTTGTGCTGTCCTCCCGCCTGGCCGTCCTGCTTGGGCTTGCCCTTGCCTCCCTTTACCCCATCCCCGGCTCCTTCTTGTCCGCCCGATGGCTGGCCTTGTGAAGTCTGGGCAGCCTTGGCCTGTGCTCGTCTTGCGGCCTTCTCCTCCTTGGCCTTCTTTTTTAACTCGGCGCCTGAGAGCTTCTTCTCGCCCGCGGACTCCCCGCCCTTTGCGGGTTGTTCGCCTTTCGCCTTTTGGTCTTTGGGCTGGGTCTCCTTCTGGGTCTTCTCGGTTGTCGTCTGGGTCGCGGGTGTTTGAGGTGCTTGAGGTGGCTCTGCCGGGGCAGAGGTATTTGCCTCGGTCGCCATAGCTGTCGGGCTGTGTGTGGGTGGGAAATCCAACGACGTGGGATTGACAAGACAGCTCCGATTCACAACGATGGAAGTTGACAAGAATCTAACCGAATGCAGTAGAAATCCGTATTCGTTCGATCGCACACTGCTTGAGGGATAATCTTGATGTCGCCCGTGGTTATCGCGCAGTGTTGGGTTTCGCAATGGGCATCAAATTGTTCGCTAGACAGTCATGGGAAGTTTGAGTCACTGCTGAACAAAATGCAAGGATGCCCCGCGCTACTGCGATGACCGCACTGCGGCCGAGATTTTTTTTCCCGCCGCATAAGTTTGACGAGCCTCGACACGTCAACCGGCATTTGCCATGCACTCAAAAAACTCGAGGCTACTTTGTGTTCACTCAACCGAAGAAATGCTTGATTCTAGGTGTATGATTTATCTATTATACTAAACTAGCTATCCTACCCTTCTTAACGTCTCAGCATCGCAATCTTTGCATGTTTTCCTCCCGATTTCGCTTTCCACCCTTCAGATTAATTCGAACAATATTGATACCAAACACGTGACGATATCCTTCTCATTTGGACCGCATCGTCTTCCACGCTTCTGAATGTGCAGACTTGACGACCTTCTTCACGCCAATCCACAAGGGACTGAGCCGCAATGAAAGACAAAAGACACAATATGTGTGAACGAAGGGTTCCAAAAATTCCTCCTCCACAATAAAGTAGAAGAGAGTAGTCTTTGAATAGTTTTCAACTAGCAAAATTCCTTTCTCAGCTCAACGCTTCACGGAAAAGGAAAATGCCCGAGCACGCGGATGGAGAAGAAAGAAGAAAAAGGGAAAAGAGTTGGAGGCAGAGCGAGAATTTATAGGTCTTTTTGCGTGGTCCGTGCGCAGGAGTGATCGCGGCAGGCGGTACCTACAGCATGTACCTTCTTACGCACCGGCCTGTGATTGGCTGTGAGGAAGGTCCAGGCAGAAGGGGCGCCCAAGGTCAGAGACTTATGATTGGCTAAGCACTCTAGGCAGTTACTCTTAAGTTCAGCCTCACAGCAGCCTCCAAGCATGCCAACTGACAGGCACCTGCCCTTTCACCAGACCGACGCATTTGATAGGACAGCTATCTGAAGTCGCCCGATCTTTTGACTCATCTGTTACAGAACAGAAACTCGTATGATGGGAACATTCTGCAGTAGTAAGCGTAATGCGTCACAAACCAAGGAAGAACAAGATTTCCCAAGCACGGCTTATTCTTTGAGTGCACGTAGGGTATGGAAGCAGTTACTGAGTACTAAGTACCTGTGTACTTGTACACTGTTGCTGGGCACAACCCCGCGACGCGTGCACGCGACAGGTAATTAATCCAAACAAAGCAGCCGCAGCGAGGGTGTGGCTTCTAGTGCTGCTCAATCTCCACAGCTGGCTTCATCGGCCTTGTGAATTGAATTGTCCGCAAATCCCATATCTGCGCATGCAAATGCAGCATTTACACACCCACGCCCACAATGGAAAGGTTCCTGCGCGAATGGAGGCAAGATGCCTTGAACAAAGCGCAGTACGACTCGGCCATCTTCATCGGTGACAAGCTGCTGGCCCTGACAAGTATGTTGTGTTGGACCTGGACGTCATGTCTTCGAGACCCTGCAATCGCAACGCCGCTGACAATCTAATCCCCCGCGGCCCTTAGACGACGATAATGATGCATTCTGGCTGGCCCAGGTACATTTCGCTACCGGCAACTACACTCGCGCCCACGCATTTCTCATGAAGCAAGACCTCATCACTCGCAGTCCGGCCTGTCGGTATCTCGCTGGCCATTGTTTGATCAAGCAGTCTCGTTTCGAGGAAGCCCTCACAGTTCTCGGCGAACGGAATCCTACCCATTTGATCACCAATCCGGGCCCCAGTCACAAGCGCAAGGCACAGACTCGCCATGTGGCACGCACCAGCAAGCGCGGGGAGGAAGAGGAGGCACTTCTTAAGGAGGAGGCAGCGAACCGACGCTTTGAAGCAGCCATGTGCTTTCTCAGGGGCATCTGTTACGCGAAGCAGAACGCATTCGATGCCGCCAAGGAATGTTACAAAGACGCTGTCCGGATTGACGTCCAGTGCTTCGAGGCTTTCCAACAGCTCATGAAGAACTCCCTGCTGTCCCCAGACGAGGAGTGGCACTTTCTAGAATCTTTGAATTTCGACTCGGTGCATGTGTCTGGCGATGATTCGGCATCCCAGGAGGCCGCCGACTTCACACGAATGCTCTACACAACTCGTTTGTCCAAATATCGAAACCCAGATGCCTTCGAGACCGCATACGAGTCCTTGTCTACCCACTACCATCTGGCTGACAACCCGGACCTGCAGCTCGCCCGGGCCGATTTACTATACACACAATGCCGCTATCAGGATGCGCTCGCAATCACCAACTCAATTCTCGAAAACGACAAATACAACTTTACAATATACCCAGTCCATCTCGCTTGTCTTTACGAGCTCAACATGAAGAACATGCTGTTTCTCATCTCGCACGATCTCGCCGACAGTCACCCTGAGGAACCCTGCACATGGCTTGCAGTTGGCGTATACTACTTTGCCATCAAGAAGATCGCCGAAGCGCGACGATATTTCAGCAAGGCCAGCATGATGGATGCGCATTTCGGACCTGCCTGGATCGGGTTTGCGCATACTTTTGCTGAGGAGGGAGAGCACGACCAGGCAATCTCGGCATATTCAACAGCCGCCCGGTTATTCATGGGCACACATCTACCCCAGGTGTTCTTGGGCATGCAGAACCATGCTCTCAACAATATGACACTGGCAGAAGAGTTCCTGAAAACAGCATACGGGTTGTGCAAAACAGATCCTCTGCTGTTAAATGAGATGGGAATTGTAAAGTACCACCAAGACAGGCTCGAGGAAGCTGCACAGTATTTTTTAGCGGCGCTGAAGATTGCAGATGAGATTGACAGTGAGCCGTCCGCCTGGATCGCCCCTCGAACAAACCTGGCACATGCCTTACGACGACTCCGGCAGTTCAATAAGGCACTGGCTCACTTCGACGAGGTGCTGAGACTTGGTGGAAAGGATGCGGCAATCTTCAGCGCCAAGGGGCTGATACTTATGGAGCAGAACAAGCCTGAGGAAGCAGTCGTGGTCTTGCACGAAGCTCTAGCGATCAACCCACAGGACAGCATCGCGACGGAGCTCCTCAACAAAGCACTGGACGAGACGGCGGTAATGGACGGAATCGCCGAGGATGAAGCAGAGGACTTGGCGGACTTTGAGCAAATCTTGGACGAAAAGAAAATAGCTGCAGCTCACAAGGTAAACGGGGAACACTACGGCAGAGGCATGCTGGAAAAGGGCAAAGGAACAGTCGGGAGGACTCGTGTTTCTATGCTAGAAGAGGAGAGCATGATGGATATGACTGATGAAGATTAGCTCTGTCTCCTTGGAAATGCAATGCCCGGGGTTATCGGGATTCTATTCAGGTTCTTTGAGAGGTTTCCCTGTTTGCTGGGGCGTGGAGATCTGGATATACTACTAGCATGGCGTTCAGGAATATGGCATGGGGGACCAATCATGGGTTTGACGGCATCGGGGAAGGAAAAGAAAAGTATATTATAGTATAGAAACTAGATGACCAATTCACATCTCTATCAACTATGATGTTCATCTTGCTCGAAACGATGCCGCAAACAAGGATCCTCGCACTCGGCTTCCGCCTTACAAAGTATTAGTGGGCCAGCGGACGACAATCTGGCCGACTGACAATTAAGCGGCCTCTGATGGGCCAGACGCTCAGCGAGATCAGCGAGAGCTCTCCACAATTCGGCGATTGAAGCGACCTACCCTAGTTCCAGCTGAACGCCACGCAGGCTTCCAGATTGTCGCTATCTGAGGCTGCGTGCTATCATCAGCCAGGCCTACAAATATCAGCTGACGGGATGACAAGCTCAAGGTTTGGAACGGCCGAAGTGCCATGGTTTAGGCCCCTCACTCTCACCAAACGTCATTGTCTGTGCCATCAAGAAGACGGCACATCTCAACACTCAGCTACTGCGAATAGCTTCCTATAATTAATCAAGACTTACAAGGCTCACCTCATCCATCCCAATATATCCGCTACCTAAAGCACAATCACAGACATGTCGCGCTTCTTCCCCCACCCTCCCTACGCAGAGGACCAGCCCCTCCACCACACCATCCTCACCACCCACGTCCTCACCCGCGGCTTCACCGCCGGCGCCATCGTCGGCTCCCTCCTCTCCGCCTCCCGCCACGTCCTCTCCCCAGCCCGCCGCCAGCAGCCCGTCGCCCGCCTGCTCCCTCGCCTCCTCGCGTCCTCCTCCACCGGCGCCCTCGTCGGCGTCGGCCTCTCCGCCC